AGTTTATATAAGTTTATACATAAGTTTATGAGTATACTTATTGAAAATTGTATGTTATAAAAAAGAAATAATTCAGATTTTAAGGTCACTAATAAGTAAGTGAATGACACGGATCATGTGAATTCTTTGCACAAACAATTTAATTAATTAAATATATTTTTTAAAAATAATTATATTTTTATTGAGTTATATATTTTTTCTCAAATTATGGGTGATGATAAGGTTAACACTCAAATGTTTTGCTAATATAATTTCTAATTAAACTTGCACCAAATTAGAAAAGCAGGCGAAATAGAAGCATTTTGTGATCTTTGAATTTTTGACCCCAACGTGATCTGTTTGGCATTATATAATAACTGTTATGTTAACAGCTTCTCATTAAAGTTAAATTGTTAAAGGTAAAGTGTTACTAAAGCATTACCAAGAAGACACAGAATTGTGTGAACTGTAATTCACAGTTATTGGCCTAAACACATTTACTATCCTTCATTTTTACTCCAGAAAGTCTAAAGGATTTGGGGTTTCTAGCATAGCCTAATGGATGTAGCAACACACGAATAAAGACTTTCGGGTTATAGTCACGGTGTAATACAGCAGCTACATGGAAACAAAGAAAGCGTTATTCTAAATAAATCCGTGGAGTCTTAAAGACCGAACAAAAAGTTTGGTTTAATTTTAATTTCATTCATTGCAAGCAAAAGAATACAGCCAGCCTGTTTATATGAATCTTCTGTCACTGTTTGAAAAGACGCTGCACTTTTGACTCACCTCATTTTAATGCAACACCAATCATTTAGTATACATGATCACAAGTTCCCTTAAGTATATCATTGGTCAATTAAAACATCATCAGCAATTATAGTTGTATTTTAAGATCTTACCTATATATCCGTTCCATTTTATGGCGTTTGTCGCAAGAAACAAAGCGCGTTTGGGGTGGACAGGCGGAGACTGCACGGAGATCTCCAGCGCAAGAGCGCGCAGCAGAGCAACGCTGTGAATCTTGCCCGAGGCGCGCTCTCATAGCCACAGACGTTAGCTATCAGTTTCTAGCCACCAGGTGTCCTTCACGAGCTTTTGTGCTGTGGAACCCATGCTGTTTTTTTTTATGTATTGCGCAATATGCATACGCAATGCTTTGGCAGCAGCAGCTCGGCGCGTTCGCTAGAAGGTACGGTTGGTTATTCAGTTTTTAACACAAGTGTGTGAGACAGTGACAACTAAGGAATTATTTAGTTTCACATAAATTTTATTTAACAAATGCACAAAAAAATGCACCGCAGTTATCCAGTAGCCCCTCACTGCAGAACAAAGATCCAGGGGGCGGGGTTGGATATGTAAAAGTAGCCTACATTTTGAATACACAACAGAAACTGAATTTAAACTACAGCTCTGCACCGAGCAGGGTCCAAGCAAGCTGAACAGAGAAAAGTGTCATTTCGTTTGTTTACAAAAGGCCAAGCTATTTTTATATCTATCTTTAGAAAACGTTAGAAGCTGCTTGCAACGACAAACACTGAAGTTAGCACTTCAACATAGGCCATATATTTTACATACATGGTAAAAATGGTAGGCTACATTTTGACTTCATTTGATGCTGGCATAACTCAAGCGTGCTCTGCTACGATGGTCTGTCTGTGAGCTGGTTTGGTGTCAGTCTTAAAGGTGTCATATGATGCGATTTCAATTTTTCCTTTCTCTTTGGAGTGTTACAAG